ATTAGTGTTCTGTTAACATGGATGTCAAGCATTAGTTTTTATCAATGAATAAAAGCAGAACAATGAAGCTAAAATGGTTCTCCTGAACACAGCAATGTGAGTGATATGCTCTTTGGATAAGGAGAGGATAATTTTTGGGGTTTTTGATTTGGGTGAGTGGAGCGATCACTCTTCTAATAATAATGTCAGTTAATAACAAATCATTCATATGGGGTTTATTGCTTTAAGTAGTTGGTTCTAGGTGATGCAAACCAGTAGTAGTAGCTACAATAACAGTGCTAGTACCATGTTAATGTGGCTATACTCTTACCACAAAGAAAGATTGTACACTGTCTTAAAACTTCTACATGAATGTAGCCATTAGGCCGTACAGAAAAATCTGTCATGGTGTATTGTATTAATATTTTCAATTTATATTCAAGTTCAGTTATAATTGTTGTTGAAGTTTATTGTTATACCAAGTGTTACTTAAAATTATTATATTTTACATTTCAAGTTTTAATCCAGTTTATTATATTTACCAAGTTGTGCGTTCTCTAGTTTCTAAGCTACAGTTTGTGTTTCTTTGATAATAAACACGCCAAGGTTTTAAAGTTTTCAGTGTTTTATGGAACAGGGTGATTTTGTGTAGCTCTGTTAGCATTATTATCTTAAAATATGAAAAAAATCATATTTGATGCTAGGACAATAAACTTGATTTATATCTTAATAATATGCATATGGAGATTAAAAGAAAATTGTGACACTATCCATGGAAACTACATTGCATGCAGTCGAAGATGCTTGTGAGCTGTAATGTGTGGATTGAAATATGTTAACCATTTAAAAGTTGCATTTACAATTCGGAAATATGTGAGGTACCTTCTCTTCATCAATATATACACTGTATAGTGTTACGATTGTGGATGGGCAATGTAAATGTAGCTAGAATGTTGAGCAGGCTTCTTAAATTTGATAGATTTGTAAACAATAAGTACATAATGAGTTGTAAGGCTAAGTGTTATGGTTGTCAGGATAAAATCTGTTGGAAGGTAAAGACAATATTTTTAAAGCGAGGGATTCGTCACCTGCACATGTGTCAGATGGCCATAGCGTGTCATTGTTTACAAACAAGCCTTTTTAGCGCGTGTTATCATCGCTTGGGATTCAATTCCCGCGCGTGTGCAGGTGATGACCCCCCCCCCCCCACCGCTTATCATGGGAGTGATATGTAGCATATTTTCAAAATGTGAGTATGATTTTGAGTAAAAAAAAAACACAAGTAAATGTCTTAAAAATGACTGTCAATAAAATTGTCCTGCTTTACTTTACTTTCGTCAAAATGACTTATCTACATTTGTATGTGTTATTATATAATGGTGAATAACATGAGTCATGTGAAGACAAATTTGATTTTGGTAGTACATAAATCTAGCAAACAATGACATACAGCTATGTTTATTTTATCTGCAAATGTTGGCATTGAGTTACTGTGTAAAGGGTTTAATTATTCACTGGGTTTTAATTTTGCTTATTTCGCTGACTGGAAAATGTGCTAAATTAAAACCCAATGAATATGTAAAATTTAGCATAGAACACATTATCTAAATGATAAAACCATGAATTTAAAACCCACTGAATATGCCTAAAATGGTAAAGCAGCGAAATTTAAAACTCAGCGAAAATTACCACTATATTTTGACTTAATCTTCAAATGTTGACATTGAGTTGAATTAATTAACATTCATTCATTCATATATATATATATATATGTAGAACTCCCAATATTCTCTTAAAAGGCTGACAAACTATTGTATAGTTGCGGCGAAAAGCAATATACACTACACATTTACTCGTATGTAAAATCCTTGGCGTACTGTAAAACATGTTGAAATAGCGGTATGCAATTTTAGCCAATTGTGGTTAAATAGCGTAATATCGAAAAGTTGATTTAGCAAATCTCTCTTGTCATTGTTGATTTCTTTGTTTGGCGGCAATTTTGAATTTATAATAAAGTCATTAGCGACATCTTGAATTAGCGAATCAGTTCTCACTAAATTTGCGAAAAAGACATGTTTTACAGTAATTTCAAACCTAGGTATAGTATCAGAAATGTATCAAGTTTTTGTTTATCCAGTCTTTCAATCACTTTAAGCTGAAAATGTATATTTTTTGGTATTAAACGGTATTGTGTTTTCAATTGAGTCTTTTGTGTCTATGCTTGTACACATTAATTTGCTGCATGTTATTTCACTCTACAAATATAAATTGCAGGGAAAAATATTATCAGGATCTGTGGTAATCACTACAGGCTGGTGACAGTTTCTTAGTGACAATTAATTAACTTTCCATGATTTACAAAGTTATATTACGTAACACTGAAACCAAAACCATGGGATTTGCACCACATGACAATGCAAACGAAATTACAGTGTATGCTTCTATTTTTATTGTTTCGTAATTCTAACGGATTTGCTCCTTTTGTTCTAAACTTGAATCATCATTCAATAAATTAAAAGTAATTGTACACTAAAGGACATAAAGCTGTGGCTCTTATAAACATTTTATAAATATATATTTTTATAAATCACTACTGTGACCTGACAACAGCATATGCTTCCGTGTTAATTGTTCTATGAATACTTGTGTAAAGTTTATATGTCAGTTAATCTCTCAGAACACAAAGTAAAGATTATAGTCTTGCTAATAGGTTCTTTATAATTTATATGCTAAATTTAAAGTACTACAGACAAAATACTAAAACAATTCAGTTATACATGTAACACGACACATTAAAACAATGAAAATATTAACTGTTAATAACCTGTATTATTATGTATCTGTCACCGTAACGCCATACGTTACAGCGTGCCGCCATTTTGCGGTATTTTAAGGGGTATTTTCATCCTACCATATAATGAAATGCAAACTCCAAATATGGAATGATTACGCGCGTAAGCGTCTTCTAATAATAAAAACAAAAATGGCTGCCATCAGGGTGTGACAGGACTCCACACAAAAAAGTTTGCTGATTCTGTTCTAAACATTTTGGATTTCGGCATTCTCATGGTGTATCCTTGGAAGGAAACGATGTATAATAATAATAAGGTTGTTACGAGAATACCTCAAAGTATGCACTCAGACAGTACGCCGTCGACCTCCGCGATACTTCAGCTGTACTTACTGTCTTCGTGCATACTTTGAGGTATTCTCGTTATGACCTCATATACTAAAATAGCCAAAAATTGTTAAAAGGAGGTGGTCGTCGCGCCACGCATGCAAGAGATACGAATTCATATGAACAAAGATGGCGATTTTTGACTTGTGCAACTGAGACTGAGACTATCAAGGGAGTCACCAGCGGTAATTAGTGTACGTTGTGTCCCGGTCAACTGTCGTAGAAAAGCGCATTGGATTGTGGGAAAAGCAATGTTTATCAACACAAAGATTGCACATGCCCGGTGCGACGACCACCGCCCTTTAACAGAGTTAACTGTATCGTAATAAAGTAACAGTATTGTGATGATGCTGACCAAAAAAGGGAGATTGTTTGACAACTGAATATCATTAGATATTTTAATAATAAAATTTGATATGCAACAATACCATAAACAGCATAGCTACAATACCTTATGAAAATTGACCTTGTATTAGAATTAAAAGAGTGGTCAAGCTAAAGAGGTGAATGAAGAGAAAAGAATAGTCACGTGAACAAGTATTAAGTACGAATGACACTATTAGCAGCATTAGTCCACGAGCCATATGGCTCAGTGGTACCAATAACGGGTACAATTCGATTTTTAGGTTATTTTTGAAAAGCCTTTGGTCTGTATTTTTGAAAAAAATGTTTCTCGAACATGTCAAATCAGTAGCTTATCTCCATTCAATATTTGGAAAGAACAAATTTCGACAATATAATTATTATTTTATTGGTTTAAGCCACATGTATATTTCAATTTATGGACATAATTATTCCACTAGAGACCTTTAAAATGATAAAAATAAAATATTTAATAATTACCCCCCCCCTACATTTTGAACTGATTTGAACATGTATGTAAACGAGGTTGTTTTTCAATTTTTCAGATTTTTAATCCAAAATAATTTAAAATTAGGATTTGCACACACGATTGATCATCATGAGTCAAAGTGTTTAATAGTATATTGAGAACATTGTTAAGCCCCCTATATCTGAAGAATAAAATGGCTCACTCTATGTTTACCATTTCAACAAAATAACCAAAATAACCGCTACACGGAAATTATTTTGCGTTTGAAAACCATGCTTGGCAAACGTCATTTTACTCGGATATAAAACGGTAAATTACATTTGAATTAAACTGTATCACTATTGTAAAATAAAATATTTTTTTTTTGTCGTAAGACGTGTCCACCATATTGATAAATTGATATTGATAGGGGTGATATTTTAATGAATTATCCAATGTATGAACACCTAAAGTAGTATTGATATACAGTTAAAAATTGATTTAGTATTGATCAGTTATGATCCAATATGATCATGTTGCGTCTACATGCGATTTTATATTTTGTATTTTTAACTATTTTGTTTTTTAAAGAGTAAAAAAAGACAACTCACATATTCAGTAGTGTTTTGGTAGTATGCCTTTCAAAATACCTGAATTTACAAATCGTATACAGAACATAACCATTTCCTCTAATTACATTGCGTATCCCGAGTTCGCAAGAGTGTACCACGTAAAAACGTCTTATCTTGAAGTAAACATAATGGCATTTTAGATAGATTCTCGAGACACGAACATTAAGTAACACATTATAAAGAATTTAAATCTGTACTTAGAGGCTATAAACGGAAAATTACTAGTAGTTTATTTGGCGTGAGGGGTAATAATTGGGCTCTGATGTAAAAACTATCAATTTAGTCTGCATTGGGGGGGGGGTTGCAGCGTTAACGTTCGATAGTTTATCACAACGCCGGGACCTAGGAAAACCGACTAATAAATTCCACCTTCCATTTTCGTACGAACCGACTGGTGGCGCTATAACTCAAAACTCGTCTACTACATGACTTATTTTGAAGCATTAACAAATGAAGCAAACACAGTTTCATCCTTCTTTAGTAGATTGTGCGGTGTGTCGTATTCTATAACTTGACCACCATTAAGTACCAGTACTGTGTCAGAATCTAAAATTGTGGATATACGATGCTGTGGAAAGATCCATAAAATACAATTATCATTTGCATAATTCATTTGCATATTCAACTATATATACTAATATAGAAACCATAACGTAAGGATTTGTTAATCAATTATATTACTTACTGCTATAGTCAGTACAGTTTTATCACTGAATGCTGTACTGATAACTTCTTGTAACATTGCATCCTACAAAACAAGAACAATTTATTATGAAGTTGCTACTTTGCGAAGCGTATGCAACCACCAATCAAGGTCGTTTACCGCACTCCCCTAGACCGTCCTGTTGAACCACGAGATAGGTGCCAACAAACAACCACACTCCCTCAGTATAACTTATTTTTTGTGATCACTATAGATTCACCATATCAAACCACCATATACTCCACATTCTTTCAACAAACCCAGTCTTATAATTTAAAAAAAAGAAAGAAAGAAAGAAAGAAAGAAAGAAAGAAAGAAAGAAAGAAAGAAAGAAAGAAAGAAAGAAAGAAAGAAAGAAAGAAAGAAAGAAAGAAAGAAAGAAGAAAGAAAGAAAGAAAGAAAGAAAGAAAGAAAGAAAGAAAGAAAGAAAGAAAGAAAGAAAGAAAGAAAGAAAGAAAGAAAGAAAGAAAGTGTACTCACTGTTTGCGAATCAATAGACGACGTGGCCTCGTCCATGATGAGTATTTGACTTTTACGCAGGAATGCTCGAGCTAAACAAAATAACTGCTTCTGACCAGCGCTAAAAGTATCACCTCCCTCGGGAATCTGTTCATCTGAAATTCCAAATCAACAATCGACTTACACTACTGAAATGCAGTACGTGTATCGCCAATACCTGGATTCTTTTAAACATTTATTTTTGTCGTTATTTTGAAATAATCAAACATTTATTCAATTAAGCTTAAAATAAATTCCCTGGAAAGATTAAGAAGTGGTCGACTAGATCTATTCCGTGAGAGCACAGATTATAATACACACTTTGTATACAAATATATTAATTCATTCATATTTGCATTATGAAACATTGGTCTACCTAATTGGTCCTGCATATCCTCTACATATCCTCTTAGTTGTGCAATTCGCAGGGCATTCCATAGTTCTTCATTCGTATGTATAGCTTCTGGGTCTAAATTGAATCTTTTATAGAGAAAAAATAGGTATTCACATCACGACAATGCTGTTTACGACCACATACGCTGATATATATATATATAAATGTTGTGAGTTTGTGAATTGTCATCGGAATGCGCATCACGCCATATAAAATAGAGTTACGTATCTTACCTGATGGTTCCGGCAAACAGATGAGGATCCTGTGGTATGATAGATATTCGCTTGCGTAGAATCAACAAAGGAACTTGAGAAATATCTATTCCATCGATAATAATTTGACCTGAATATAAGAATATTCGAGTATAAACGAAATTGCTCACTAAGTCTTGCAAAAACGTATTTATTCAATCTAATTTTCTAAATATAAAATAACATTAAATTGTACGGGTAATTGTTATACCTTGGAAAACGTCGATCATGCGAAGTAGAGTCAGTGTCAGTGAGGTTTTCCCACTCCCAGTACGACCGCATACACCAATCTGAATATGAGATATACGTAATAATAAGTCAGTAACGTATTTGATAATGGCCGCCGAGATCTCATGGCTGTCATAAAACATGCTCATGTATGGGTGATTCAGCACAAATTGAAACCACGTGTTCTACGTTTTTTTATCACTCCGCACGCCTTTTATAGTTTTTAATTCTTCATTCTGACCTTTTCTTTTGGCTTGACCTGTATGGATACGTCACGTAGAACTGGATTGGACGTTTGGGAATATCGTGCAGATACGTCTTTAAAAATAATAGATCCTTTCTCAGGCCAATTAGCCGGGGGAATATAACTTCCTGTATAAGAAATAAGAATAAGTAGCTGTTATTTAGTATACGTGAATATCACATTGATAGTTTGTATTATTGATGAAATTGGCAACAATATACCTTCATATCTTTCCATTTCGACTTGTGTGTATTCAATCACACGTTCAACTCCATTAATGAACGTCACAAAGTCGAGGCATTGCATAATTCTACCGCCGAAGCAGAAAAACACCTGAAACATATGATAATATTGTCAATATATTAAGTGTGAACCCACGTGTTATTTTCTAGTGTTTCGCGATCCTGGTTTCCTAAAAGAAGACAACTGCAAATCATGACGCTATATGAACATACATGGACGACAAGAGTCATAATTTAATGTTGCAAGTTTTAACAGGAATTGGAAATTATGAATCCGATGATGGAAAGAAAGAAAGCGAGACGTCGATGAAGCATGTTACATTTATATAATATACTGAGTGTGTGTTTCTACTTATGAAATGAAACTAAATATATTTTTTTTTCATCAACAAAAATGTAGAAATTGTACAAGTAGTAATTATATATAAATAAATAATGAATTCTACTTGGAGTACTTTTCTTTTTTGGCGGGGATTACAGATATAGTTCATCAGAACTAGTCGGGTTCGTAACACCTGTATGTGTAATTTTGTATTTTAATCAAATAAATTATCAAATAAATAAATAAAGAAAGAAAAAAACTTACAAACCAAATATTGAAGAGATTATCAAATAAAGAAAGAAAGAAAAGTACTACAAATCAAATATTGAAGAAATATTTTTGTTAACTTTGTTATGGTACATCGGGCAATGAGTTCCAATGTTTTGTTGTTAAGCTACAGTCTAAGCGGGTTTGATATTTATGGGACAATGGGTCCAAACAGTTGTAAACATCTTGTACAAAAACAGTTATTACTGATTACTGATCAAAGACAAATAAACAGGTTCGTTATTTGCAAAGTGAAAACATTTCTAGAATTCTTAGTTTTTGGAAAAGAGGAGCAGCATGGGAATGCGAGTAAGAGAAAGTGATGAGGCGTACTATTTTTTTCTGTAAAAGATATATTGGTTGATGTTGAGGATATGCTTTGGTACAAAAGACGTACTTGTGAAATTAATTGCAAATTAACTTTGCAAATTTTATCAATGTGGGCTTTCCATGACATATCTTTTTTTGGGTCAATAGAGACGCCAAGGTAATTGACGGCACATACGCCCTCTATCGATGACCAGTTAATAACCAGGCTGCCCTCACCGATCGTTGTGATGTTTTATTGTTTTTCAGAATTAACAGTAAGTTTGTTTAGCACTGCATCATTCATGAACCCTTCAAAAGACATAATCAATTTCTGAGAAATTTATTTTATTGCTTTGAATAAATTTAAATAGGTTAGTATTATCTGAAAATTAAAGGAATTGATAGAATTGGCTATATCATTATTATAGATTAATTAGAAATAAGATTGGGTCTACAATCGACCCTTGCAGATTATAGGTCGGAGCAATGAGGAAATGTTATCAATACATACAAGTTGTTGGCGATTACAAGAATAGTTTATAAACCAAAGTAGAGGATGACCTCTAATACCATAGTGTTCTAGTTTGAAGCACAGAATTTCATGATTAATAGTGTCGAAGCCATTTTTTGAGACCGATAAAAATACCATATGCGGCGAGGTCCAGGTCAGCCACTGTGTTGTACTGTGCGTTTTTTTTCCGGAAACCAAATTGAGTATCAATGAATATGTATTTGTTTCCTCTAATTGTGTCACCGTACCAAAGATATCATGCGTATATAATAAAATGTAAATCACTCACTGTTAAACCAGTTGTAATACCCAGTCCAACAAAACCGGGTTCCATATGACCATACACGCAAGCCAACAAAGAACTGAATCCACAGAAAAATACTATTAAATTCCCAATCATCATCTGAAAATAATAATACATTGTCTGTAGGTTCAACTAATCGTTCCATAATCGTACATTTATATTCATAATACTATGAGGTTATTACGAGGATACCTCAAAGTATGCACGAAGACAGCTGGAGTATCGACCGACGCACAGCGGAGGTCGATGCGACGGCGTACTGTCTGAGTTCATACTTTGAGGTATCTTCGTAATAACCTTATTATTTATTATACATCTTTTCCTTCCAAGGATACACCATGGGAATGCCGAAATCCCAAATTGTTAGAACAGAATCAACGAACTGCTTTGTGTGGAGTCCGGTCAAACTCTGGTGGTAGCCATGTTTGTTTTTATTATTAGAGGACGCTTGCACGCGTAATCATTCCATATTTGGAATTCGCATTTCCTAATATGGTAGTATGAAAACCCCGTAAAATAACCGCAAAATTATGGCACGCTGTAACGTATGGCGTTACGGTGACAGATGTATAATAATACTATATACTACTAAGATGTGTATAGGCACAACTAAACAAACATGGAGAATAACACGATAATAATGAACAAGTTAATAATCATTACCATACGCACTGCAATCCAAGCGATAGCTGTGAAGAAGTATAACTGGCATAAACTTGTTTGTTCTACCAGTTTATTGAATCGTTGTTGGAATCGCTTATCAGCCCTGTAAACCAAACACAGTTGTGACAGTTTGTGTATTGTGCGAGTCACTGAATTCAACGTTTACGTTGCAAATTAACGTAGGTTATGGCGTTGTGGCCGTTTCGTATTCATGGCGTTCACGTGACAATGTAAACAATTCCAAACCATATTTACCTGTAAGCTTTTACAGTGACTATACCCCCAATGGTTTCTGTAACATGTGACAACACTGGCGATTTGGTGATACTGTCTAAACGTCGCAGCTCTCTGTTATGAAAGAGGGTGAATTGTACATGTATGTTCATTTATTGGTGGAAATCAATGTTTAAATCGATATTCATCATAACATTTCATAAGTTAATTCGCATGGCATTATTCGTAATATAATGCCCTTGGTAATTTACATGTCATTATTCATCCTATAACAAAATGTGCAAGACATTATTCATCGTTATGTCCTGAGTCATGTGGCATGTCATTATTCATCATAATGCCATGGGATATTTAATTATTCATGGCATAATATACATGGAGGTTATTCATAAATTAAAGTACAAAAGTTATTATCACTCGTTTTTGTATATAAATAACATATTCAATGCAGATTATGTTGATGCAAAATATTACCTAGGAAGTCCTAAACCGTATTTCTGAAGCAGATACACAGCGATAGCTATAGGAAATATGGCGGTCAAGAATAATGGTGTCACAATTGAGTTCACAATAAACGTGGTTGATATTTGAAGAATAATTGAGATCATTATATTCACATTCATCCATATTCTCTGCAATGAACGAAAGGAATATATTAGAATATATTAGAATATATTATATTTATAACATGCAATTGTCCATGTGAGTAATTTCAAACCATATAAAGAATGATATTGTTTTTGATCGATTGGGTTATCAATTTAAAGAATGCTTGGTCGTCTACACACATGCGAAAAAAATATTTACCGTGAAATACATATATGATAGAGGTGTGTTATGGAGAGGTGATTGGCGTGTTAGAATCCTGTGTTTCATGTTGTAATATCTGTTTGTTTGTTTGCATATACAATTTATTTATATGTAAATTTTTGAAAATAGAAACGAGGTTAAATCAGATTACCAAATCCACGGTCATCGTGTCGTGGGCAAACCGATTCAGAATACGACCAGCGGGTGTAGTGTCGAAGAACCGTACTGGAGCATGGATGATTCGATTTATCATCTTCAAATGTAACCTTCCCGCAGCAGCTATAGAGAATTTGACTTGACAAATATTTGTCAACATGGACAGGATAACAAAAATAAAACATAACGCCGCAAATACGCTGACGTAATACCACGTGTTACGATCTTCTCCCTGAAAAATGAACAATATTGCTGCCAACAAATATGTTGTTATTTATCGGACCAGGGCCGGGGGACTATTGCCACGTGAACCTGCGATTCAATTAACTTACATGTTTTTTCATATCATTGTTCAGCATCATATTGCGTGATATTTTCCGAGTGATATATGGTCATAATGATAAACCAAAATGATACTAGTATAAGATCCCATTAAAACAACGTACATGGGCGACAACATTATAACTTCAATATTCAACGTTAAGTCGTTATATCTTTTAGGGAATGTGTTGTGATTCGCCACATAGTTTATTGTCTTACGAAAATTCTTTCAAATGTTTCGTCTGTTGTTAATTTAGCATTTGTTTGTTTTTATGAATAATTAGATTTTTCAAAAAGATCCATTCACGAAAAAAAATGAATGGTATCATCTACATGCATGCATCTACGTCATACCTGAGAAATTGTATTGTTAATTTTGTCTTGTTCATCTTGGGACCATCGTGTTAACCATACATTACCCATTACATTGACACCAATATATAGAAGTAATAGCCCGACTACAACACATACAAATGGTAGCTTTATTGCCTTGCCGTACATGTAGAATGTATTCCACGATATAGGGCCCAGTTGGCGTGCTTCGTCTACAACTAGGGAACCTAATGTTGAAATACAACGATCATGAATTAAGCCATAAAGTGAATATGCTCAAGTGGAATACACGCAGTATTTTATCTTATAAACATTATAATATATACATTATCATGTTTTAATGGTTATGAGCATTAAATTGAACTACTTACTATGTGTACTATTTCCATTCAAACCTAATGAAAGGTACAAATGGTGTCAAATGCAGTTCTCTCGAATTTGAGAAGTGAATCCTGAATTAAGAGTACATACAGACTAGGCTTTAAAAAACGAAATTTTCATAAATCTCATATTACTTTAATTTAGCCATATGTTACGTAATATCCCTACAATTGTCATGTACGTTAATATTTTTTTCTAATAAATTTCAATTACTAGAGAAAACTAAATTTGTCATTTTTATATAATAACAAAATACATTAATTTATAATTTATGGAATTAATTTACTATAATATTGCAGACAAAAATTATTAATAGAAATGTCGCTACCCCAAGATTGAGTGATTCAATCAATACACCATGTGTATATATATATATATATTTTCAATGTTCATGTTCGAACCATGGCATGTTCAAATAAAACATTGAATACATCGGGTCTCCAAGAGTGTAACATGATAGTATTGACATTAACTTTACAAGCTTTGGGTAAAATTATATATTGTATACTAGTATTCACATTGCCTATTTCAGTACTTACCTTGGCTACCTTATATTTTATTTATCATGTGTCTGTATTTACAACATGGATTGTTCTCTACTTACCATTTGTAATGCTTCTGCGTGTTGTTGACCTTTCCGTTTGACTTTCTAATTCACTCGTGTGTTCAGTGTTTATTCCAATGCCAGGATGCGGTACAATATTGACCCCGTTTTGCCATTGTTTGAAGAGCTCTGGATACTCTCGTTGAATCTGAAGTGGATCTCCTTGTTGTGATATTTGTCCCTCGTGCATTACTATAACCTTTGAATTAGGATAAACATATTATTATTAGTCTGTCAGAATGAGTTGTCGTGACATTTTCAGAAGGGGTTACGCTGGATACAAGAACCAATTGAATGATTTTCCATTAATAAGGTAAGAATGAGTCTTTCATGAAATTTACAGAGGCTTTACCATTGGCACGAGATCAAATTATTCAGATGTTGGAAGAGACATAGACCAGGTTGCCAATTTTGGGAACGTTTTTTTAGGTAAAAACTCAGACAGTTATTGTTAGCTGACATGGAATTTTCAGAATATATATATATATAGGAAGGTAGTCGATTATTCCAGGTGAGAGTGCTCGATACTAAACGATGAGTTTGTAGAGCAGATTTACATACGTGGACAGAGAAATTAAGACACGACTACATGAGTAAAGTTCACTCTACAGTACTGTTTCGTAAGATACATGGAGTACCTCACTCATCAGGAGTTAAGACTTTATTAAATAAACCACCGAAAACAGACTACGTTATAAGCGCTACAGATTTGCAGAACAATGGAGTGTGTTTACGATATTAAAACTAGTTGTTGCATAGCAACGATTTGGCTCTGTGTCTACAGGAAGAAAAAAGCCCATTTCTTTTATTTAAACTACAGTAATGTGGTTGGAAAATTATAATATATTTCTCTCTAATACATAAGTTGCAACGTTTGCTTGAAGTATTGTATGGTGCAGCACGCGATAACACTCTCCATTTGATGTCGTAATCGATGTTATTGTCTTTTAATGACCAAGCGTATTTACTGAGCTCTGTTGCGTTTCTCAATGATTGGTTGCGTAGCGATGCTGTGTGGTTTCTGTACCGGGTTTTAAATTCATTTCCTGTTAGTTTCCTGTTATATATATATATAGGTGTGATGTGCTGCACCTAATGATGGAGCAAGATAAGTACTATATATTCTTACACACGTGCTTACCTTGGCCGCATGTTCAATATAACGATAATGGTTAGTAACTAGTATAATTGTACGTCGCTCATCGTGCAAGAATTTTAAGATTGCTTTTTTCATCACGTGCTCACTGACATGTACATCTAACGCCGATAAAGGATCATCCTGTAAACCAAGCGAAATAACTCAAACACACGAAGTTAACGGGTGTTCAATGTGTGTTAAGTATATAATACACTTTGCTCTATACTGTAAAGTAATTCAAATTCGTCAGCTCATGTGACACCTTAGATTCATTTCAAATTACAACAGAAACATGATATAGTATTTTATGACATACATTATATGTGAATATATTAGGAGCGCGTAAACGCCAACAGCTTTGGTCTAGCAATGCGACCAATGGTTTATGGATAATTATTTTAAACAACAGAAACGCCACGGCAATAAAACAATGCTCAGGCTCATCCTTTCATTCTGTTTGTGTTTTGCTCAGATATGCAGCTACAAAAAAGAAAGAAATACAAACCAACATAACGATGTCTGTTTTAGCATATAAAGCTCTTGCCAAACTGATGCGTTGTTTTTGTCCACCGCTTATATTAATTCCCTTGCCTCCAATTTCTGTCATATCGCCACCAGGAAGAATATGTATGTCTGGGTTCAGTGCGCACACCTCTAATACAGCGTTGTATCTGCAAACAAGAAGAGCACCGAATACAACTTTCTTGAAAGTCACGCCCCGAACATCAAACCGCTTTTATGACGTTATAATGACGTAAATTGGTGAAAACAATGTCGCTCAAAGCCACATATGTGTTTAGTTGTGCAGTCATTTAACATTTTTGTAAATAGTAAATTTCTAAAAACAAATTTGTTTAATGACATTCAACTAAATAAACATTTAAATAAATAAAAAACAACAATTTCACACACTTATGTACCAGAAGTTATCGACAACAGATAGTACTACATGATGAAATTAATATATATTTAACGAATAAACGAAGAATATCGATCTTTAAATTCTGTTTCTTTCGTTTTTTCTATTTGAAAATAATTAATACTTTTGACCCTCTATGTGTATATCGATGCTACGTGTAGTATGGGACCTTGAACGAACGAACGCGGTCGCGTTGACCATGTATACTTGTGTAAACAAAAAAACTTTGTTTACCTCCTTGAATTAAAATCCTCTCCAAACAGTATATTATCTCGCAGTGTGGCATTGTGAAGCCAGGCTGGTTGAGCAGCAAACGATGTTTTAGATTTTCCACTTTAAGACGAATAGTATAAAAAGAAACGTCGTTAGTCACGTGATAACTCACAAATGCCAACATGTATGATATATGTGATTGTATTTATAAATTCTAATTCGTTTCAACAAAACGCGATATATAATATAATTGATAAATAATATTACAAATAATAGCACTGGTAAAATTAAATTATAAAATTTATCCTAAATTAATCAGCTAAGCTTAATGATTTGCAATTTGTAACAAACATACCTATAGTTTACCAAACCTGTAATTGTTGTTAATTCTCCTAGCAGCGCCATGATCAGAGACGATTTCCCGGCACCGATTTTACCAATGACTACAGTGAGTTTTTCTATAAAGATAAGTAAGTATGTTGCGTGTTATAGTGTATTGTATCTCAATCAATAATGACCTATTTTCTAACCTCTCATGTCTCATAGTATTTACGTCCAAGTGATTATATGCTGCTGTTGTCATATCAATTACAGTAATCGGTAAAACTTACCAGCAGGGAACTCTACGTTGATATTGTTCAAAATCGGAGTTTTCGCGTCACGTCCCCAGACGAAGTTCCCATTTGTAATCTAAAAAACCAATATAAATATGAATAACGTTAAGCATTTTGTTGCTAATTGCAATTTGTATCGTAGAAAGGAATTGATAGTAGTATTCTTGGAAGAGTTAATGAAAACACCAATGACACGGATTGACCTGAACACCCATATTGCCTGGGTAATGTTGTTATCAACGATGTTTTATGGTAGAATTAATAACCTTGCGGTTTCCGGGGAAAATGAGATCGGAATATGCCTCACCTGGACTGCAACAGTAGAAGGTATCCCCACTGAATATACATTATTGGGCTGCGTTGTTTCGTAATTCACCTTTTTAACAATGCCAACAAGTGGTGTGACGTCACTCATCTCCACAGCCGTACTATTCCCGTTTACCTAAATGTATATACGGAGGTGAATATTTCTCAATGTAAATCTCAATAAAATCGTGTTATTTGTGTCTTTATGTTGAGTACTAGACCTGAAATGACACACAAACCCGCGAACTTGTTGATATAAATATTACTCAACCCTTGACTGGTGGTTTCTCAAAGTAATCATGATCTTACGTTATCAGTTATATCGCTAATAGTAAGCTCGCGAGTGTGGATGAGTGTTGTTTAAATTGGTCAAATGATCAGCAACGTCTTCGTTGAACACAAGAACTTTACAATGTCTCAAAAAAACCAATTCATTAAGAGAGCTATTATATATTTACCTAGCGCAATCAGCGAAATCATGTGATTGTTAGTTGAAACACAAAAATAAAAAAAATAATAAAAAATAAATAATAATGAAAGAAATATACCATATTTGTTTCATCAAGATAATCTTCACTCTCTGTATCGACCGATAACCAGATGGTAGACTCATCATGAGAATCGGTCATAGTGTCATCTGTCTTTAAAAATCGTTCAATTCTTTTCATGCTTGACAGTCCTTCCACAATGTACCCAATGCTACTGGGCAGGGTGGTGAGTGGCATGATGAGCAGATTAGACAGAGCCAATACTGTAAACACCACATCCGGTGTGAGAGGCGTGGAGGACAACCCCACATGTACAACAAATACCTGCAATTGGTTGATATGTTACACAATATATAATAGATCATCTAGAAATTATTTTCAATAAAGACTTTTTAGCTTACACAACATTTACTAATCGTTACAATATTCATAAAAGTTCGAACTACGCGACTCTACGTTTCAAAATGGTTAAACGATTCACTCTTTTGTGTCTACAGATTTGCGCATGAATATATATTATCATAAAATAGTTCGTATTATTAATCACTCTAGATTATGTAAAGCGGTCCATACTCACTTACCAAACATGATATAGTCACAGGCATGCATTGTGCATTCACAGCTATAATATAAAAAACGATATGTTAAGAAAAGATTAGTATAAGGTTACAGTTCCAGGGATGTATGTCGTACAGTTAAATCAAATTAAATGCATTGCTACTGTGTGCTCAGAATTAACGCTAACTCACATATTAATACATCCTGGGTAATATACACAAATTAATATAATAATATCATTCGCAATCCGCATGATCCGCCTGTACTGCAATAATAGCATCTACAACTGTAATATTATTGAATTTACCTGAGAATAAAAAACGTGATCCCACTTGAAACAATTGTTTCATTTCTCCTTTCCTTATACTTTCAATATTCGAAGCAAATAATTCCTCCCATCCATACATTTTTAATATCTTCATGCTCTGCAGAATCTCATTAGATTTCTTCAAGCGAGCGTCGGCTAACAGCTAAAATGAACATTTCAGAGTGATCAATATATACATCATATAAAATAAAATATTACGCAACAAAATTGTCACTATTCTATTTTTTTTAATACATAATTGTCGTAATTCATATCGGCCTGCAATAAATCGTATCGACATGTGCATGTTTTTGCAGTAGCATTCATACATTTCATTCAGATATGATGTACAAAATCAGTATTCTCCAATTTGTCTAATTCCTGGTGTATGATTCAATGTTTATGTCGAATTTGCCAGTGCTACTATAATAGTGTTTGTATATAGTACATTCAACTCTTTTCAGTAGCAACTCAAGACAAATAAAATGAAAAAAAAATCTAGAGAATATAGCAAATTATCAATTTTCTGTGATATTCTTTTGTAATCGATATCTATGAAAATCATCAATTGTGTGCATATGAAATACATTTTGTTATCAATTATTCTCAATATACTAGTATTTATGGATTTGTTGTTGTCGTTTTCAAGTTTTTTTTCCTCCAAAACGAAAACATTGCACAATGTTGAAAATGTCTTCGCTATTCCGTATATGCAACATATGCATACATGCAAATGATTGTTGTCAAATATGTATGTTAATAAGTTTTTTTCAGACATACGGAACACTTTTGCTGGGCAATCTTCTGGCCTTGAGCCATCCTGAATTGCAGCGGTACTGTTATGAACAAGACGGAGAGGCTGATGACACCTACGATGCCTACTTTCCAGACGAGAAGAGTACATGCCAGAATTAACTATGTGAAAGTAAAAAAAAGTAAAGTTACAAGTGAAAATACGTCACTTTCATTGTTAAAATCACTCTAGAGGGCGCCAACTCCTGAACTAGTACGGTACAAGATGTACTCATACTGAGGCCCCTGAGCGAAATATCAATTACGTTGCAATCACGAGAGACTTAAGTTTCTCTCTGACGGCCTCTCATTGATGATTTTATTGGTCATTTCACAAAACAGTGGGGTAGTGCGTCATGAATTTCTGTGGTCATCACCACGTGACCGATTTCAACAAAATGGCGACTACTTGATCTTAGTTTTCGCTTCGCATGTTATGTGATATTAGCCCTGTGTATGGCTACTTTGCCATCCAATTGTATCTAAAACGATATTTTGATAAGATTGTGTCATCTTTATGTGATAAAAATGTTCAAAAGCACACCCATTGCTGCTGTAATTGAATTATGATGTTACACAGAACACAAGCAATTATTCTTTACATATACGTGAAAATGTAAGCCAATGGTTGTGATTTGACTGCCCACTTCAACTTGCTACCCATTATCTTGTTTACTAGAAACTCGGATATGTACTGAGGTAAATTGTGCACGATATTCTTGTAATATATATATATGTCTACTTACAGTGAATGGTGTAGTAACCATGGTACCCATATTGACAAATAACCACTGTATAGCAACAACGTCAACAGATATAAGGTTGACAATCGTTCCACTCACATCCCCGGCTGATATTAATGATGCAGATAATCTTAGCGATGCGTCGTAAATTATAGTCTAGTTGAGAATAAGATGAAGCAATCTCGTATTATTGCATTTGTATTATAGTTGGTGTGTGTGTGTGTGTTGAGCATATGTCAAATAAACTAATTCTCAGTAATCCTTTTTTGATTCCGTGGCAATCACGTGACATGTTGGTGATCACGCAACTTTTAGACACCCCTTTTCGATACATTCCGTGTTCTGCAATACTAGGGACACTTTGTTTTGTTGGTAAGGAATTGCGGAAATACGATGAAGCTAATACTCGGCCGTAATAGAAGTAAGAGTATGTTTACCATTTTCGCAATTGATATACGGCACAAATTAAAATTGTGGTTTGATGCCGGACGCTTTTTGTCACGCTTTACTCGTGATACAATGTTGAATGCAGAGTGAAAACGTTTAAAAATATATTTGTATACGAGATAGCGAACCCCGTGGTAAATGACAAGGAAATGAATTTAGAATAGCACTTAACAGTTAATTGTCATTTAACATGCCAGGGTGTTTATATATATAACCAATTTGTATTTTCTATTTTTAAATTTGCTTTTACACTTACAATATACTATACGGAAATCCGATTGTAAATAATTTGTATTTGCCATGGTGTACTGGTCTAATGTATTATAAACCATAGCCGTACGACCTAATAGCGTTGATTAAGAATTGTGATCCAAATTGTCGAAATACGTAGAATTAGACATTTAGTTTCCGTTTGTGCCTGTGAGTCTAATAGTAGCTCCCTCGAGAATATTATACAAATCTAAATAAGTTTGTTAAGATTAAATGGATCTTAACTGAGAAAATGTAATGAACAAACGCACTTACTAACAATGGTAAACACAATATGGAATGACGCATTTTCAAAAATATAATTATTCAAAAATAGAAACTAAATACAAAAATCAATTTATATCTGGTTTAATTACACGTTTGGTTGACTTTGGTAGCTGCATTTGTCTGCTTTGAAAATTGGAAATTTCCACAAAATTCAAAAAGCGGGACGTAAAAAA